AGAGAATGGAATTTGGAGTTTTATTGACATCAGCTAATGTGGAAGAGAGCATTTTCCTTACTTTCAAAAGGGAAAGACAATTAAAGGGGATAGATACATTTGAAATTTGCAAGCATAAATCATTGAAGTATTTATTGTTTGATGAAAAGGTCAATTTTTCTCATGGTAACACAGAAAAGCTAAGTGTAGACCAGGAAAATGTTTTTGCACATCTTTGATGAGCTTTGGAAATTATTACCGGTAGTGCTCCCAACACCCATGATAGAAAAATTGGCTATATTTGCTGTTGCTTTCTGAAGGTTTTGAGCCTTCATTAAACACATGTGACTTGCTTTATTGTAAAATAAATATCAATGTGTCATGGAAAGTGGCATTTTCTTGGCATTAAAAATAAAAGCAATATTGAAAATGTCCCTTGTGTACCCCTTTCAAACTATATCCTAGGTATCTCCTTACTTTGCCTACCCCTATTTGTAGTTTTATTTAAACTATAGTGTTCATGGTCCAGATGAGCAGAAGATAAGAAACTTTTAAGGAGATGGTTTTTGAAATATTATAAGAAAAGTGATTATACATTTGTTGGTGCCATGCAAAGTGCTTTCCTCTCAAGGCTCCTAGGTAATAGTCAGGTAATTTGTCCATTATCAATCAGCTAAGAAGCATCCAAGACAGGATTCAAACCCATGTTTCCTGATGCCACGTTCAGCATTCTTTCCTATTAGCCACCATGCCTTCAGCACCAAAGCCAAGACTTTCAGAAAGGCTTCTGACATATAGAGCCCCTGCTCCAATCCCCTTATAAGGGATTTGTCAGACAGGTCCTCAGCCATTTGTCTGTGAGATGGCTAAATATACAAATGAATGCCTATCCTCAATGTGAAGACACAAAGTAGTAGGATAACTACAAAGACAAACAAAGCAATTCAGCTTTGGAAACTATAGGTATTGATAATATGCAGATCATCTGTCATTATGCAAATTACTTAACTGTGGTCTGCTGATAATATAGCAGCAAAAAACAGGTCTTGAGAAGAAAAGCTTCTCATCTTTATGGCTAAGGTCATACAGCTAGAGAGGTATAGTGGCTTAAAAAATTATAGCCTTTACTATTCTAATTACTAAAGGTATTAAGATACATTAGAGAGGTTGGCTAAAGTCACCTAAAAGGATACATTTTGCCTTATTTAGTAATAGAATCTTTAAAACCTTTAACATTTTCTCCCAAATTTCTCCTTTGAGCCCTCTCCAGTATATGTTATTCATTAAATCAATGCAGATCAACAATTTCTCTGTAATTTATAATTTTACAATTACCTATTTCACTGAGAAGTTGAAGACAAGACACTGACTTGTCTAGGGTGATATAGCTACTATGCATCAAAGGAAGCACTCGAAAGAGTCTTCATAAGTCCAAGATTGGTCCTCTAGCCACTATATTATGCTTTATATCCTTTGCCACATTTAAAAATGTATATGGTCAAATCTTAAAAAAGTTTCTCAACATCAATCAGCTTGATGTGGTTTTAATCCAACACTATAACAAAAAATGTCCCAAATTAGAATCATGCCATCTTAAAATTTTATTTTCATGGATATTTCCCTTAAAAGATACTACATGATAATTAAAATGAAACTTTTTTTTTTAAACTGGACTGTGGGCAAGTAGGTACTTCCATGGATAAAGCATTGGGCTCGAAATCAGGAAGACTCATCTTCCTGAGTTAGTATCTGACTTCAGTTAATATAACCCTGTTTGCTTCAGTTCCTTATCTGTAAAATGAGCTGGAGAAGGAAATGGCAAACCAATGCTGTATTTTTGCCAAGAAAATCCCAAATGGGATCATAAAGAGTCAGACATGACTAAAAATGACTGAACAATCACACAGATAAGGGGAACCCTTCAGGGGAAAATAGACTCAAGAAGTATACTTTTCTAGAAAATACCTGTCTTTTAATTTCCCATAGATCTGGATCACTGATTTATTTTTAGGATTACAGGATCATAGATTTAAAGATTGAAAGGGCCTTTGAGACTAGCCAATCCACCCCTTACATTTGACAACAAAGGGAGAGGAAGAGCAAGAAAAATGGACTTAGGAACACACAGCTAGGGAGTACCTGAAATGAGATTTGAACACAGGACTTCCTGACTTCAAGTTCAGCAGGTTATCTACTTCAACATTTTCATTTATTAAAAAAGCCCATATTTAGAACAGAAAAGAAATGAGACCAAATTCTTGTATATATAACTTAATAGTAAAACACAACAGCAACATTTTTGCAATAATGATAAATTTGGTGTAAGGATGATTCTTTTTGGAGGATATTTGAGCAACATAATCATTTCCTATTTAATAGTGGAATGAATCAGTGACTTAGAAAATAGAGATTCCAAATACTTAATTGACAATGCAGTCCACCTTCACCAATGTAGGAATTTTAATATTTATAAAAGGATTTTGGAAGGAATGTTTATGCTTCAGTAGTAAGATGCACAAACTATACCAAGTAAAATCTTGTTAAGCTAATATCAACTTATTCAAAATAGTGTATAATTTCAAGCAACAATTCCTTGGCTGACTGGCTAGTTTTTATTTTAATAAAATATCTTATGAAATAAAATATTTAAAATCCTATTTTCCTTGGTTTCTTGCATTTAAAATTTGTTCAATTTTATTGTACTTTCCAACTTTCATACATCAAAAGTTTGTTAACTAGTGAAAAGCCTTCCAAGTTGATTATATTTTCTGCTGCTAACAAACAGCAACCATATGATTCTATCAGTAATCTCTTACTAGTTTTATGAGAGATAAACCAGTTTCTTTCCTTTATACGTGACATATAATATCTGTTTGTTTGTGTGATGGCTAAGTATATAAATGAATAACTATCCTCAATGTGAAGACACAAAGTAGTAGAATAACTACAAAGATAAACAAAGCAATTCTGCTTTGGAAACTCTAGGTATTAACAATATGCAGATCATTTGTTATTATGCAAATTATTTAACTGTCACATATAATATGTGACATATAGATGATTGTATCATTTTTGCTATATTAGGTGGCCCAATGGATAGAATGGATAAATGCCTGGATTGGAATCAGGAAGATTTATCTTCTTGAGTTAAAATCTGATCTCAGAGTCTTACTAGCTGTGTGACCCTGAGCAAGTCACCTTAATTCCTCATCTGTAAAATGAAAAGGAACTGGCAAACTACTCCAAGAAAACTGCAAATGGGGTCACAAAGAGTCAGACACAATTGAAAATGACTGAACAACAACAAAATCAGTCATTCATTTGGGAAATACTTAAAGACTAGAATACTTATGATATTATTTAAAAAGCTATGTGTAGTGGGGCAAATATAGGAAGAAGAGGAGGTCCAAAATCACCATATACAATTTTTATTCTTCAGAGTTTAGTTTCAGGAAAGTTGAATATGAAATTCAGGTTTATAGAATTATTTTTCCTTGCAATACTTGTCTGAAAAGGATGGAAAGAAATAATAATAATAAAACAGAAGATGTTGACTTGTTCTTTCAAGATGGTGGTGATCAGATATGGCAGAAAACAAATCAACTAAAATTTTCTATGACTGATTGTAAACTTATTTTTTTGCAAAGATGAGCAGCATTTCACCGAAGAAAGCATTAGTACAGTAAAAAGTTAAAATGCTTCTACCTGGGTGGCAGAATGCAGGTGGGGAAATGAAGTAAGAGAGCTTCGGTCTGATTAGAGATCTGTCTTATCCTAGTCTTGGTGCTCGAATGGATACATCTAGTGATTATTTCAATGAAAAAATCACACCCCACACCCAAAATAGTGGCTAACATCAGTGCCATACATAACAAATTCGAAGAGAAAGATCAGTTTTTCAAATTACTGTATATTTTAACACAAAGGGCAAGAGTCTTTTGCTGGGCTTTTGCAGGTGAGTATATGAAAATGTAACTAGATTACATTTTAAAGTTGATTTAAAATTTTTTTTCTGCCAACTACAGCCTCGAAAATGGGTTGGAAAAATCTTTTAATACCATAAAAATTTTCTTTGGCTGGGTAGAATTTGAATTGGCCCTGCCCAGATCACCAATCCCCTGCATATCTTTTCCTATAAACACACTCCATTTCAAACCTCCATAAACAAGATGATGCTCAGTTGCATAGTTATAACAAGCCATATGCACAGCTGTTCCAACAGTGAGCCTCTTCTTCTATATATGACCCATAATACACATGCAGACATATCTCTCCTCCCCCCCAATAACAGTAGTTACGAATGAGGAACTTAAGACATACTTTCCTGCTTACCAAAAACCTTAAAATTTAAAATTTGAGAAAACATAGATGACACAAAACACTGTAGATGCGGTATCAGAACTACCTGTTTTTGGCTTTGCACCTCCAGTGCTTAGTACAGAGCCTTGAAGATAGTGGGGACTTGGTAAACACTGAAAGGATCATGATTTTGTTGAACTCTTTAGCTTATATTAATCAATTTCCACTCCATTGATTATTCCACAAAACCTTACAAAATAATTTGTCATATTTCTATGTGTAGAAGAGCTAAATCTGTACCTAAAAACAACCAAATAATTGTATATGTGTATATGTATGCATAGACAGTTTATATATATATATGTATATGTGTGTACATGTATATGTATATACATGTACACACACATATACATATATATGCATATGTACCTAAATGACAACTTTTATAATTTTAACCTAAAAATAATTTTAATTTTATCTAATTAGCATTGTACCAATCATATTAAGCATTGCTGCCTCTCTTTAGGGCTTCGTAACAAAAAAAGCATCACAATCTTAGTGAGAAATACTGCAGCACTTTGATCCCCAAAGGAAATACACCATACTTTCTGGACTGGTTAAATCTCTATTCAAAGTCCCTGAAAATATAAAACCACAACATGCGTACTGTGACAGGTATATATTCATGAAGAGTGATCTCAAAGCATGGCTGAAATACCTACCGTCTTGCTGAGGTAACTTGTGCTGGTGTTCATACACTGCAGTCCCTCACTGTTGCAGCAACCCCCACATCTGTAGATGGATACACATGGAGGTTTAAAGAAGGTGTTTGTTGCTGCTCCAAACTCTTTCCCCACATCTATACACACCTCACGTGGCATGCACTGAGTCTTTCTCCACTCATTATCAATACCTGCCGAGTCATAGGGAAGTCCATAAGTTATAAAGAAAACATGGCAGCAGGAGGTCACTCACATTTAGAATAAAACCAACATGTTCATACTCTTATGTGCTTTATCTGGTGAAATATGGAATTTTAATAAAGAAGTGGGAGCTAGAATCCCTAATACTGGGATAAGGAGCAGAAGAGCTCACATACCACCTGAGAATTTTTCAAAGGAAACCCCTTTCAACAAATTTCAGACAATCTAAGGTTTTATACTTTATGAAAAACCACAAAGACCAGTCCACGGAATCTATGTGCAGATTTTTCCTTGCTTCAGAGAATGAGTCTTTAATATCTGCTGTTTATAAATGCTGCAGCAATGTAATCATGCCAGTTTTCTTCAGCATGCACTGTCTTTGTGGTTTTCAAGCAAAAACAAACAATATCATCACTTGTTCTCATTAAAACAAATGTAAATGAGGAGAGGGTGCTGGACACTGTCCAACACCATCCTCAGAGGAGACTGCTGGAAAATCTAGAAAGTGGCAAGGCTGTACCTACATACAGTATAAGTATTTCTGCAAATAAGGAAGGATACCCTGCTGTCTTTTGGCAAGCTAGTCTTCTTTGCCTGTGCATGGTATAGTAGAAAGAGTCATATACTTGTAAGCCAAAGACTCCTAAGACTTGGATTTGAATTCTGGCTCTGCTTTCTGTTGGGCTCCAGTTTCTTCATCTGTAATTCCCTTTTTGGCTCTTAACATTAATTGATTCTAGGCCATTCACTTTGAATTGCTCTATGGATCTGAGATGCAAAGGGCCCATCTATTGACCCAAATGTTTAAATTATAACCCCTGTCATGATTGATGCTGTTCTCAAAGTTCTAGTTTGTTCCCTATCACTAAAAAAGTAAAGCTTTATTAGAGAAAAAAATGTATTACTGATTCCTTTTAAGATGCATTGATTTTTGCCTCAAATTATAAATATCAACACATTCAAATCAAATAATAATATTACAAAATTGGTATTATTTTATTTAACAACTGAAGAAAGCTGTCTACAATGCCATTAATTCAATATAGCATCATCCACTAAAGGAAACCGAGGAATGGTAGGCAAGAGATGCCTTAGTTATTTTTATATGCTTATTTTCCCCACAGAGCTTACTTAGAAAATGTCATTGGATTCACAAAGGTCCAGAATTGAAGATTTCAAACTGGAATTGGCCTCTGAGGCCACAGTACAACTGCTTCACTTTATGGATGAGGCACCTGAGAGTGAGAGAAGTTAAGAGATCTGCCTGGTGGTAAATGAAAGAGGCAGGATTTGAACCCAGTTCCTCTGATTCCAAATTCAATATTCTTTTGATTATGTCACCCTAAGTCTACTGAAGCCAGTCTCTGAACAGTCAGCCATAAAGTACCTCTTGAGTAAATGACTCCTTTCTCTTCCCATTGCATGTAAACAGAACATTTAGGAGACCTAACTTGAAGGAATGACCAGGTGATTTACAAGATGGAGAATACTTATATTTGTAAGAAAGAGCATGCATATGAAATATGCACTTTATATATACAAACATATATATATATATATATACACACAAACATATATATGTGTGTATATATATATAGAAAGATAGATATAGATAGATAGATAGATAGATAGATAGATAGATAGATAGATAGATATAGATAGATAGATATGAAAGGGTATTTACTGTTCCATTCCCCCAGGGGCCTCACCAGCAAATGAAGGAACAAAAGCATCATGAGAAACACACAAATTTATTTCCCACCCAATTTGACTGCAATGAGGAATTACTGAATAAGATAAAAGTTTTCTTTTAAAATCAATCCCTTTCTTTCAGCATATGAAGTTCTAAAGGTTGTATATAAAAGTACAGATACTCAGTTGTTGTTGGTGATGGGACAGGTTAAGGAAGGATATTCCCCCCACTCCTGGTTTCACTGCCAGGACTGATTACATGTTTTCTTTCCTGCACTTACTTTTCAAGATCTCTGCATTGTAATGTGCTGCAGCAAATTTGACATTCTCTTCTCTTGTGTCAGGACTGGGGTGCTCCCCATTTTGCTGCCAGCCCCCTTTCCTCAACTGACATTTAAACATTTTCCAATATTCTGGATAAAGGACTGTCATAAGTTCATCCACACTGGACACGGCCCGCAACTGCTCTTCCAGATCTTTGCTTGCATGATCCTGTTAAAGAAACATGCAATATCAATTACTTTTCAAATTGTAGGGTTTAGGAGATGCCAGAAAGCTAACACTTGCTGTACAATGATTCTTTTTCTTGAAGGAAGAGGCTACAGTGACTTGCACATAGTTGGTGCTAAATAAAGGTATGAAGAATAGATGAAAAAAAGTACTTATTTTTGTCTTGGCTACAGTGTTCATGATAAAAACATTATTTTAAGTTAACTTTTAAAATTAGGTATTTTAAATTACATTTGGAGCTATAATTTGTTAATTAATTATAACTTTTTACTTATTTCTGCAATAAATGCTCAATAAATACTTGATGAATAAAACACAGTACTTATTTTGTCTTGGCTACAGAGTTCATGCTGAAAACAAGATTTTAAATTCTTACTGCTCAATTCAAAGCTTTTAAAACTAGCTGTGACTTTTTTTTTTTAGCAAACTACTATTTGATTATCAATTTTAACTTTCGGTTATTTCTGCTCTTTATAAAGATGGGTATTTGTACCCAATTGTTCTTTCAACTACAGATATATGGTCCTACTTTCAATTTCATACATAGTTGCTTTTAGGAGTTTGACAATTAGATGTTTCCCCCTGTATTACTCTCCAGTGAAGTCAAACAAACAGTGAAGTATCATGTTACTTTTATTTTACTCTAATATCTAAATATCTAAATACAAACTTTTTGAAATAATATCAGGGACTGTGCTAAGGTGTTGCCTTAGAATCACCAAATAAACATGGGAGTACAAAATTCCATTTTAAAAATGTGATTTCCCTTTACACTGATGGCAGAGACTTTTGAAATTTTTAGGGAAAAGAAATTTTTCCTGTAACAGTGCTGACATTGTTTAGTTGTCAAAATGTGTATTTTTAAAATAAGAAATAGTTCACATGGCATTTGTTAGTGCTTACAAGCATGTGTGTGTGTATATATTATATATACATACATACACACATGTATGTTTGCATGTATATGTGTGTGTTTACTAAATAGGATATACTGAAGCATATTCTAAAGAGTCTCTATAGCAACAGACTCATAAAACTCTTCTAGATCTACTCAAAAAGAATGGAAATGAATGCAAGAGGGTTTTAAAAAAATTCCTGAACCAGCAACTCATGGGTAAATACAAAAATTTATATTTTATAATTTAGCGTGTCCCCTGGAATTTTGGACCTATAATGAGTAAATTACTCTCTCCAGAGCAGGAAAAGCACAGAACACCTGAAAGTGAATTTTACTGCATTCTATATGTATGTACATACATATGCAGACATCTATACACATACACCCACATACATATATTTATATGTATGTGTGTGTGTATATGTATGTATGTATAATTGCTTTCTCTTCTATAAGCATTATTCACTTGGAAGGAAGAGGTACAAAGTTAACAGCATAACTTTGCCATGTGATCTAGTTCCATAAAGCTTGTTCTATATCTATTGACAGACTGATAAATCACCAAGATTGTTAAATGAATTGTTAAAAATTGAGGCAATTAGGAGACTAAATGACATTTTTGTATTTTAATTTTTCAAGTTAGTTTAAGTCAGGACAACCACGTTATTTTCATTTTGTGAGGACATAATTTTGGTTTTTTAAGAGCTACTATACTGAGAGGTAAATTAAGTATCTGTGATCTCATGGATGCCAACATCCCATCTGTTGATATGCTACCAACTTTTTTTTGTGGTACAGTGTCAAATGAGCTATATAAAACAACCTTAAAATTAGTTTGGCTCATATTAACTAGTTACCGTTATATAGCATATGGAAATTTTGATTTCAACTGATAACTTATGCAAAACTGGTCCTATGTGGCAGTATATTAAAATCAATTAAGCGACAAGTTTAATTGTTGTTAATTATTGCTCAATAAATGTCCATTTATTATGCACCTACTATGTTCAAGGAAATATGTTGGTACAAAGTAAAATATACAAAGTAAAAAATGAAACAGTTTCTGCTCTCAAAGAGCTTACATTCTATTGGAGGAAACAACATGCATACATACATATATCACACATATACACATACTATATATAAGTGTACATGAATATATGTACATGTAAATAAACATATGTTAATATACACATGTATGTCTATATATACAACATAATACGAAGTAATTTTTGGTAAGTGAAAGTGATTAAAATATGTGAATTATGTACAAATCTTAACTAATTGGTTATTTCACATAGGAAAGATGCTTAGCTAAAGAGAGAAAACATTGGAAGATAATCAAAAGAAGGATTTTATGACAATTATAGTCTGGCATTTTATATGTCGCTAGACAACTGGCTACTTCATTCTGTAATATTTAAGAATACCCATTCTTATGTCTGATAGCTAGCTATCTACTAAATAATGAAATGAAATTATAGTAAATGTAGGTCATTTCATCACCCTCTGCCATAGTTTGGTATGAAAAGCAACACTGACAAGATCAAAATAAAATGTGATTTTGTGTGTGTGTGCATAATACATTTTTATATGTATGTATGTTTTTATATACATACACACACACAGACATATATATATACTATATGTAAACATATATATGCATACATACAGATGTCAGTTCAAAAGTTATTTTCCAAGCTTAATTTGGTCAGGAAGAACCTGAAAGAAAGTTATTGATGGTTTATTAAATCTAAAGTATGTACAAAATGTCATTTTCTTTTTTTTTATCAGATTTTATTTATTTTTAGTTTTCACACTTTCTTTTTTGAGTTTTTTCATCCCATCTCACCCCTCCCTCCATCCCAAGATGGTATACATTCTGAATACTCCTTCCCCTAGTCTACCACCCCTTCTGTCTCTCCCCCCCTTCTCTTATCCCCTTCTCCTATTTTCCTGTAGGACAGGATAGATTTCTGTACCCCATTTCCTATATTTCTTATTTCCCAGTTGCATGCGAAAACTTTTTTTCTAACATGTTTTTAAAACTTTGGGTTCCAAATTTTCTCTCTTCTTCCCTCCCCACCCACCCTCATTGAAAAGGCAAGCAACTCAATATACATTATACATGTACAGTTATGCAAAACATAGTAGTCATATTGTGAAAAACTAACTCTTTTCCCCTTAATCCTATTCTGCCCCCCCTTTTAATTTATTCCTTCTTTTGACCCTTTCCCTCCTGAGAAGTATTTGCTTCTGATTACCCCTCTCCCAATCTGCCCTCCCCTCTATCATCTCCCTGCTCTCTTGTCCCCTTTCCCCCTATTTTCTGTAGGGTAAGATAGATTTCCATACCCAATTGAGTGTGTATGTTATTCCCTCCTTTAGCCAAATGTGATGAGAATAAGACTCACTCATTCCCTCTCACCTTCCCCAGTTACCCCTCCACTATAAAAGCCTTTTCTTTTCTGTTTTTTGTGAGATAATTTACCCCATTCGGCATCTCCCTTTCTCCTTCTCCCAGTATAATCCTCTCTCACCCCTAATTTTATTCTCATATCACCCTTCATCTTCAACTCCCTGTGCTCTATCTATCTATCTATCTATCTATCTATCTATCTATCTATCTATCTATCTACCTATCTATCTATCTATACATATAATTTTTTTCCTCCAACTACCCTAATACTGACAAAGGTCTCATGAGTTATAAATATCATCTTTCCATGCAGGAAGGTAAACAGTTCAACCTTAATAAGTCCCTTATGATTTCTTTTTCTTGTTTACCTCTTCATGTTCCACTTGAGTCTTGTATTTGAAAGTTAAATTTTCTATTCAGCTCCGTTCTTTTCATCAAGAATGCTTGAAAGTCCTCTATTTCACTGAATGACCATTTTTTCCCTGAAGGATTATACTCAGTTTTGCTGGGTAGGTGATTCTTGGTTGTAATCCTATCTCCTTTGCCCTCCAGAATATTATATTCCATGCCCTGCGGTCCTTTAATGTAGAAGCTGCTAAATCTTGTGTTATCCTGATTGTGTTTCCACAGTACTTGAATTGTTTCTTTCTGGCTGCTTGCAATATTTTCTCCTTGACCTGGGAACTCTGGAATTTGGCTACAATATTCCTAGGAGTTTTCCTTTGGGGATCTCTTTCAGGAGGAGCTTGGTAGATTCTTTCAATTTCTATTTTGCCCTCTGGTTCTAAAATATCAGGGCAGTTTTCCTTGATAATTTCTTGAAAGATGATGTCTAGGCTCTTTTTTTGATCATGGCTTTCAGATAGTCCAATAATTTTTAAATTCTCTCTCTGGATCTATTTTCCAGGTCAGTTGTTTTTCCAATGAGATATTTCACATTGTTTTCTAATTTTTCATTCTTTTGGATTTGTTTTACAGTGTCTTGATTTCTCATAAAGTCACTAGCTTCTAATTGCTCTATTCTAATTTTTAAGAAAGTATTTTCTTCAATAAGCTCTTGGACTTCTTTTTCCATTTGGCCAATTGTGCTTTTTAGGGCATTCTTCTCCTCATTGGCTTTTTGGACCTCTTTTGCCATTTGGGTTAGGCTATTTTTTAAGGTGTTATTTTCTTCAGTATTTTTTTTGTCTCCTTTAGCAAGCTGTTGACTTGTTTTTCATGATTTTCTTGCATCACTCTCATTTCTCTTCCCAGTTTTTTCTCTACTTCTTTTACTTGCTTCTCAAAATCCTGTTTGAGCTCTTCCAACATTTGGGACTGATTCCTATTTTTCTTGGAGGCTTTGGAGGTGGTTGAATGTTTTGATCTTCTTTGTTACCAAAAAGAAAGATTCTATGGCCTGACTTTTTGCACAGTTTGCTCATGATCCCAGCCAATTACTTGAGTTATAAACTCTTTGTTAAGGTACAGGTCTGCTTCCAGTGTGGAGAATGTACTGTCCCAAACTTCAGGGGTTTGTACAGCTGTTTTCAGAGATACTTCTGGGGACCTGTAAATTTTCAGTTCTTCCAAGGTGGTATGATAAGGGGCGAGGTGCTTACTCCTTTCCTGGACTGTTCTCTGGTCTATGAGTGACCACAAGCATTCTTTTCTGTCCTGGAACTG